CCGTATGGTTACTACCTTTTTTTCGGTTCGAAAACGTCTTCTTCCGGAATACAAATATTTGAACAGAGCGCCTTAAAAATTTTCGATGTTCTACACCTAAAAATTCATCATCTTTCGTAGCTCACCGACCCTTGAGTTTGAGGAAGTTGGTATCAATTATAACGGACTATTAATATAAACATACAATTTGATTTTCTTGGATCTAATCAAAATGTGAAGGAATAGATTTCTTGTCGCTGCATTGTGTCTCTTTGATGCTGTTTGTCGTAGTTTCAAGTGTTGAAGTTTATTTTGTTTTTACTCAATTTACAGCTAGGTATCAAAATAATTATGGAAATTTTAAATCTCTTGTTAGTTTAACGTTGCCTTTTCTTTCGTGCGGTTTTGAACTGGTCACAGTTCGGTGTTGTGTGAAGGATCAAATGCGTTTTAGAGATTGCGAAGAGATGAATGTTAACCCGGATGATTGTAGATGCGAAATATCGGTATTGATATTATGAAAACGGAAATGAAATGAAATTTTCTTGAACCGTGTAATTTCGATTGAAAGCTGATTGTAAGAAATCTTTCCGTCAGAAAACCAGCTGATTGTAAGAAATCTTTCCGTCAGAAAACCTGTATGTGATTTGATTCGCGAAAAGAATGATACATTTCTGATGAAAGTTACTCGATTTCTCAGTCTTTATGATCAACGAGAAACAATGTCTTACCTTTCGACTTGTTACCCTTCCCTTTAACTTGTAAACAAGAAGCAATACCAGTTGAGGAAAAGGATACCGCAGGCTTGGGAATTTCTTATTATTCAACGATGTAAAACGAACCAAAGTTTTCACGTATTTGAGGGTTTGTCAGATTAAACTACGTTTTATTTCTTATTTGCTCTTCTTAATTAAAATCCACTCTATTATTACACTATGATTCGCACATATCGCAGCTGCCATTTTTGTCAAAGGGAAGTGGTATTAATAACATGTCAGCTTTTGAATAGTTCGTAGTAAAAAATCCATTTGCGCCTTACTTATATTAATTTAAAGACGGGCATTTGTAAATTTTTCTTTTCGTTTAAATGTGTTTTCTCTGATTGAAAGTGACATTTACAGGGCAAACAGAAAAACAGCTATCCAAAAAAATCGTTCGTTTTCATCACATTTGCATTTTTCTCAAAGTTGTTTGCTTAAGGCATCATCATCAATGTCGCTTAGAAATCTTCCTTAGTAGCTTTCTGTTATTTAAAAAACTGGACACTACGTAATTTATGCCAGCAATAATTATGTTTATGCCTGAAACATCCATATTTGCGTTAGCGATAAGGTGGCTCCACAGGGTTTTTTGACCGCGCGAGATCTGGGTGCGAACAAAGCACGAACCTGAAAAGAGTCAACATGCAAAACAAACATGGCGACTCGATACAATCGCACGATTGTTATCTGAAAAGGTGTGTGAAAAAACAGTTTAACGTGTTACAGTTTCTATCTGATTGAATCTAGGATTTCCAGCAACTTCACCCGTAATATTCATAAGCCTTCTCGCCTGAAAAAGAGGTCAACAGAAAAGAAAACACCGTGCGAAAGACTGCCAAAAGGCGGCAGATTCGAAAGTCCACGCTTGCTGAGATACCGATCTTGGCGAATTTCTATTCCATTACGTAATGTTTTGCGACAACGAAAATAGGGATCGTTCGAGTAAAATTTATTGCTTTTCCTTCGGTGAAATTTCCTAAGATTCGCTGGACCGTTAAACATATTTGTCCTTCCTAATGCTTGTTGATAAAAAAAAAATTCATGAGACCAAATTTGAGATAGAGGAAGAAAACACAAAATTGAAAATAGCGGGAAGAAGTACCTTTGTAAACCCAATTTTTTTCGACTTTTAAACGATCGGCAGGACAATTTTCAAAAATTGTGAAAATTTGGAGAGATTTCACCCGAAGAAAACTGAAGAAAATCAAAGACAAAGACAAATTATCGCTGGCTAGCGCCTCCCTTCCTGGAGCCTTAGCCTAATAACGAAAATCGTTTTGAAAAACATAAATTTTTTTTAGGAAAAGGCGCGCGCGCCAACATTGAGCAAATACCCTATGGAGCTACCTTGAAAACATGATAATTGTTCACGATTCGTGGGTGGAACAAGCGGTAACGGAGCAAAATTATCTAGCCCTGGGGTTTAACTTTAACTGACCCCTTCACTACAAAGATCTCAGTGGTCAGAATTCTCCTTACCGTCTACTCGAAAATTCTTTATTCTCATCACTTGCGTGCTTGATATTTTATTGATATTATAATGAGAAATTCTGTCTATGTTACTCATGGGAGTTAAATAAGGAATTAAATCACCAGTGCTATTTGGAGCTATACCCGATGTAACTATACGGGAAAAAAAATTGATTTCTTTACCATTTTAGGAGATTTACACGAAGTTTGCCTTAAAGCTTCGACAATGTGTAATTCACATCGTTTTTAATACTCGTGAATGTTTTTTAAGTAATATTTTTTAAGTATATAAAATGCGATAAACACGCCTTGTAGCTCAGATTACTTCTTTGAAGGAAATTTTGTGAGGTTATTTCAATCTCTTTTCGTTTGTTATCGCTATTTTTGTTGATTCGTGCAGTTTGAAGATTGCTATACAAATTGTATCTGAGGAATTAAGGAAATTCAGATTCGGGAAAAGAAGTGTATTTCAAAGTTGAAATAATACTACTTTGGGTAAGGATATCCGGTTAAGTCAAAGTTGTAAAATTAAGAATTCTACTTGTTAAATTGAAAGCAATAAGAGAACACAGTGAAATTAGCCAGTGTTTCGGAAGATGTTTGCGAAAGGCTTTCGGAAAAAAAATTAGAATTCTACTTGATAAATTAAAAGCAGTAAGAGAGTACTGTGAAACTAATCAGTGTTTCGGAAGTTTCTGGCACAAGGCTGTCGGAAAGAGCTTAAGTTCATCCTTTACTCATGAAATATCCAGAAAAAAAATTTCACAGCTATGCACGATTGAAAACGAAGGGTCATTGGCATCAGTTACGAGCTATAGTGAAAATTAGCGAAAACCATCCGAATTATTGCCACAATTCCGATAAGGTGCGAATATTTAGAGATCGGGCAAGTGGTGATCCCATGGAGATTTTCAGTCAACTTCCTCCTGAAACCGAAACATCCATACTAGAGACAGCTTGTTTTGTCTAGCTTAGAAGTCCACGCAAACAATTAAATTCAAGAGATAGGGTTTCGCTGTTATATAAGAGCATTCAGCCATGGAAATCTCTCCAGTTCTATTTTTTTGTACGCAGTTAAGAGGTTAGGCTTCAGTTGTAGCTCTGCTTTTACGACCGAGAAAGCTATGTAAGGAACGTGGATATGTAAAAAAATTCCTTCAGTCAACCACATCTTCTAAGGATATCCCATGGTGATCTGTGCTTTAGCCTTAAGTTCAGTACTCGCGCAAGTGTGATTGTAATAACGGTAAATAAAAAGACATAATCGATGAAGAAATAATAAAAAAAAATAAGAATGCATACTTTTTGCAAGAGAAGTGTATATTTAAATAAGGAATACTCCTTTTATCAACGAGCCAACACGAATTTGACTGGTGTCAAATTTAATTCAAGAACCATTGCATGCAAATTTGAGATGCAGTTAACTTTTGTAACTTAATTATTAGCCTCGCGCAGGCTCAGAACATTGAGCAAGTTCCACTCCCGGAATGCATTCCGGGCGCACTGAGTCTCCGTGCTCGAAATTTACCATGGGTTTGGAAAAACAACTGAGATAAATCACTAAGAAATCCTCAACTGAGTATTTTTTATGTGAAAATAAAAAAGGTCTTTGCACAAGATCTTCTGTAGACAGAAAAATCTCATTAAAGAGAAAAGAAATTTTCAGTAACGTCACAGCACCGTATCGTTTCATAATTTTTGGTTGCTTCTGTTTGATCCATAATTTTTCCTTATTTTTTTCTTGGGATTCTTAGCTTGTAAAGGTAGTGGAAAACATTGTTTGCTTCAGTTTACCTTCTTTTTTCAGGTTATTTTCAAAAGAAAACCGGTCTTTAGATGTCTCCTTACAATCACAACTCAAGAAATTGCAGAATAGGAAGCCCGAATATATTAAAGTTTCGACGATGTTTGAACGTGACCTCCCAAATACTATATGCTACAACTGAGGAGCGAAACTATATTTTTGGGGCTCAAAGGGCCTAACTGATTGAAATTCTTCGAGGCCCAAGCAATTTTTCTTGAAATACACTTCACCCGTGAGGAATATTTCGACTTATCTTCTTTTGAAAAGGGAACAGTTGTATTTTTTGTTTCTGTTTCAATTTTCAGTGACAAAGTTGAACGTTGTTTCTTTCTTATTGATTCAATACGGTGTTTTAAATTGTTATAAAGGAATTTTACTCATGTTTTATAAACACGTTCCCTGCTGCATCATTAACCAGTCGTTTTCTTCCTGTAATGAAAATGATCGACGTTGCTTTTAAGTTTGAGAATGGTTCAGTTCCCTTGAAGTTTTTCCTTGTACAAAATGTGTAACAACCCAAAAAATATAGAGCTTTGAACCATGGACTGAGAAGCACTGGCCCAACACGACCCTTTGGACGAGACATATGCACAAGTAATTTGGATGTCAATGTTTGCAGTAATGTTTCCTTACTATAAGAGTAGCAAACTGTGCGTTGTAATTTGATGCAATGTATGTTGTTTTTAAATGACGCATGATTTTTATTAGTATTTATTCATCTTATCTTTGTTTGAGTTTTACATCCTACTGTGTCCACACGCCTCTGGAAAGTAAACCAATTGATTCTTCCCTTAGCCCCGTTTCATATTTGCATACATTTGAGGGAGGAGCTTTCGCTTGGAACCAAGCTGACCTAAAGGTAATTTATGCTTGTTTTGTCTCCAAAACTGGAAAACGAGAGGGTTCTCCAACTTTCCCTGGATGATAAGGTGTACAAAATAAACATAAAAACATAATTGGTTCAGTTAAGTCCCTTCCGCCTTGCAAGGTGAGCGGCTAAAGTCTCTGATACGCGCGCTATCCAGTCCAGTACAAATTAATTCTTATAAACGAAAACTCGCAGTGACTTCCGCAGTAGTGGTGTTAGTTCATGCAAGAACAAACACGGAAGATTTGAAGGTAGGCGATAAATTTGCTCGCGACTTATTTTTTAGACATCTGTTTCATCAACGACTGTGCTGTATCGTAACTACTTTACGGGTTTTTTTTATTTCGCTGTACAAATTTTGCTTTGTTTAGAGATACGTCAGGGTTTTGGTTTTTACATTCGTCATTGCCGAACGAAGCTTCAGGATCCAATAATTCAGATGGTTTTCGCTAATTTTCACTATAGCTCGTAACTGATGCCAATGACCCTTCGTTTTCAATCGTGCATAGCTGTGAAATTTTTTTCTGGATATTTCACGAGTAAAGGAAGAACTTAAGCTCTTTCCGACAGCCTTGTGCCAGAAACTTCCAAAACACTGATTAGTTTCACAGTACTCTCTTATTGCTTTCAATTTATTAAGTAGAATTCTAATTTTTTTTCCGAAAGCCTTATGCAAAAATCTTTCGAAACACTGGCTAATTTCACTGTTTTCTCTTATTGCTTTCAATTTAACAAGTAGAATTCTTAATTTTACAACTTTGACTTAACCGGATATCCTTACCCAAAGTAGTATTATTTCAACTTTGAAATACACTTCTTTTCCCGAAAGTTTTATCTGAATTTCCTTAATTCCTCAGATATAATTTGTATTTATTTGTCACAATAAGATCTATAAAACTAGTTGAATCACTATGTATTTTTCTTTGGTAAAAATTTTTCTTTTCCTAACTTACTTGACATTTAAAATCAGAAAGGAAAAAAATTAAACCAAAGTGAAATGAAAAAATAATATGATAAAAAAAGGTGTACTATTTCATTTTTTGTATGATTTAAAAAGACGTATTTTAGCATGAAAATATCTTTGTGAAAAATACTACCCACGTTCAATCAGTGAACTTGAATTTTGATGAAGAATATTAATTTCCAACGGGAAATGATTAAAAGTAGCCAAGAATCCAATTATGGTATTTTGAGATATTCGATACGATAAAACTGAGCGAATTTGTTTTAGCTTTTAGCCAAGACAATTGCTTTTTATCCGCTCAAGATCTTTTATCTTTAAAAACTGATGTTATTGTTGGGTTTTTTTGACAAAATAAGGATTCATGAAATACCTCATCAGCATTAAAGAACGAGCGCCACTTATTTTTCTTTGAATGATAAATGTAGGAGCAGCGAAGTCCGTAGCCTAACAACAAATAAATGCAAATGTAAAATTCTTTATTTTCATTTATAGTGTAAATAGACACAAAAAACGAGGGCTTTCTTTTTTTTCCTTCAGATATAGATAAATATTTAAATGTGGAAACTAATATCCCTGGAAGTACAGTACGATAGTATATATTATAAAAATTGGCCTCCGCAAAGAGTTCTCCATCCTTTATGGCTGAGGACCGATCGCTTTTAATATTTCGCAAGGAGCAGTCAATTACTCGAACAAGGACGTAACTAAGCGGGGGGGGGGGGGGGGGGTTCTCTTAGAGATGTGGAGCCCGTCTTTGTAAGAAAGAGTAAAAGCTAGCGTGGCTCCACGTGCCAATAAGGCACTACTGCAAGCTTCCTTCCCCCCCCTCCTCCCCTCCTCTCTCCATAACCCCCATCCGGAAAATCCTTCTCACGCCTCTGAGAAATGTAGTAATTGAACAGACTTAGTTTTCCTGTCACTGAAGAGCAGAATATTCAAATGTCGGTTAATTTCCTTATCTCTGAATTTACTTCCACTCATCTTTCAACAAAGCACTAAGTCGAAGATGACGCATGGTCGGAAATTATAAATATGATCCTTGCGTCGTGTTCCGCTCATCTCATTTAGGTATTTCATATCCTTTATCTTTCCATTTTTTTTTTATTTATCCCACATGGAAAACAAGACGAGTGAGTATATGAAGCAAAACGGTAATTCTCTTTCAGCTATTTGATCAAAAATTTATTGTCTTGTTTTTCTTCTTTCGCCAAGAGGGATATAATGCAAAATTCGGTTAAAATTTTTTGTCGCAAATTGTCAAAATCTATTTTCGCTTTTACTAAAGCTTTTTCACTTTGTTCGCAGCAGGTGATTCGGTCGTTAACACACAATAAAAAATTTTTGTCACTAATCATCCAAGTTGTTATGACTGCGGTTTTTCTCTTCCGTCAGTTTATAAATTAAACAAACCCTTAATCAGGATTCGACGAATGGGATGATTGAGCACGTATTTGAGAAAAAATTGCGAAACGTGTTGACTTGTTGATGCTTGAAATGTTTTGTTGCATCAATACTCCGACAGACGGTAAAGTGATTTGCCCAACATGATTTAGAACAAAAACAATTTAGACCAGATAGAAAATGGCCGTAACCTCGAAGAAGGAAATTTTGCAACTAGAATATCGCCTGCCTTCGATTCCGTGAGGTTTTTAGTAGACTTAAAATGCTCTTTAAGCATTTTAGGTTTTTTTTTCAATTTAAACCGACGCTCTATTGATACCTTTCATAAACAACGCAATTAGTGTCTTTTTGTTCGACTCCAGGAGCAAGTGGGCTGATTGTTAACACTGCTTCCCTTGTAATCGAAAATAGTTCATGGAAGCCTACGTATTGAGCAATACAAACAATTTTTCATATTACCCGGCGTTTGTACATACTTGTTTGGGAAAATTACGTTTGAGTTTTGATTTCCTGTCTTATGAAATCGTGTCGCAAAATTTGCCTCAAGCCGGTAATGTGACGACTTGTCATTTATAACTAGATATGAATTTTAAATGAAAATTGATGAACAAAAGTTTTAGGTATCAAAATTCAGGGAGCGAATTTTATATTACGAACAAAGTACCGCGAGAGTAATTGTCTTGAAACCCTGAAATTTAATCACATAATCAAGCTTTTTATTCATATCAAGTGACTCTTAAATCAATCCGTACTTGTTTCGAAACCTTTTTTTACATTTTATACGTTCAACAGCTCAATTTCTAATTATAAGTACCAAGCTTTTAATATAGACATCTATAAATATTTTATTACAATAGTTGGTACATAATACGAGGTTTTTAACTCAAGTACCGGTAGGGCTTTGTTACCTGTAGAGGGATAAATGTCGCACTGCATTTAACAAGCTGGTTGAAAACCCTCAAGACGAAGCGTTGGCTTATAGTATTGACCGGTTAAACTTTGAGTTTCATGTGTTAACCAAACTAGCATTGCGTTCTGCAACTTCGATGAGAGGTAATAATGAAAAACATTGATGATACTCCACTGAGTATATGCCAAGCTCTCTTCGTAAACATCTTCCATAATGCATGGACAAATTGTTCTCGCTTTTTCTAACCAGAGTGAATTTTTATGCGCACCGTTAAATGCAAGTACGTGTTTGAAAGTAATTGAAAAACTCACCAATGAATCAAAGGGTACGATGAGGTCAAACCCTGGACACGAAGCTTTGCGACGAGGATTTGATCACATCTTTCAGACAACTGTTTAGAAGAGTATTGCATTAACTTTTCGGCACACCTTAGTTAAATCTACCTTCGTGTAAAGAAGGTACTTGCGCTTTAAAAAGAGGTTTCGTAGCTTTAAAAGGTATAGAAAATGTTTCTCTCTGTTTGATAAAAGCAATTTTATTTCCTAAAACTGCCCAGGATAATGCATACTGGTTAAGATGCTGCACCATTTCATTGCACTGTTTGCTGTGGCCATACTTTCTTCATGTGAAGGGATTTCCAGTCCTCATCCTGGTAACGTTGTTTCCATTCTTTTTATTGTACCTAAAAGTTGACTCAACATTTTGACAGCGGTAGAAGCCAGCTGCTTTTCACAGGACACGCCAAACGATTTAAACTACTTAGGTTTGCCAAAACTGCTGGAACCGGGGAATATTATAGTAATGCTTAAACATTATTAACGAAAGCAGGCTGGTATTTCTTCTCAGTAGAGAAAATGCCGTAATTTGCTTGAAGGTGCTGCGCCAGTCAAATAAAGATTCATTTTCTTTGGAAATAAAAACTATGGTTTTAGAGAAACGATTAGATATGGTTTCGAAATTTTTAAGAAAAAAGAAATTATTTTAAGTAAGTTGGTGATAGAGAACTAAGACGCTTGATCGTTTTTGATCCTACATAGTAGCAAGATAGAAGACATTTGTCGGACATGAATCTAAACTAGTCTAGCTTGCCATAGAGTACCCTTTAGCTTAGTTAAAAAAACATGGAAAGGGGTGCGTTTCGTCGTAGTGGAATTAGAAATGCCTTTTTTTCCCTTTACTATTTCTCGGTTTGATCACTGACATCCAAACTTTCATAAGACGAGAACCAAAAAGATCGATGTTAAGTTGTTTGTTTTTCTTTCCTGTTCTATAGCAATCGAGTGCATAAACCACACAGTTTTAAACGAGGCAAGCAGATCTAGGTTTTTTACCAACTACATCGATAAGACCAGCGATACCTCATTAACGGGCTGGTTTACATACAATGGCTCAGCCGGTGCGCGCATGGCAACAACTTGCGTTCCCGCTGAACACTGCGGTACGTTAGTTCCCGGATGGCTGGCGGGTAACCATCCAAGTGTAGACGAAGGTTTAGTAGTACGATCAGTATGTCTCTCCATGTCACAAGTTTGTTGTATGACATCTGTGAGTGTACTTGTGAGGAACTGCAGCGGCTTCTTTGTCTACAAACTGGACGTGAATGCAGGTTTAAGCTTTACTTTTCGAGTGTGTGGAGCTGGTATTGAAGGTAATGTAATATTCTCCGAACTCCTTTCATCGATCGCATTTGTAGACGAAAACCCTCAGAGATTACAATGTAAATGCCTCCTCCATCGTCTGTCATCCACTTTCAAATCATAACCACGATTTTAAAGACACTTTGTTTTTGCCTTTTTACTAAAATAAAAGTTATTTGGAGTTGTTTGAGATATAAAATGAATTCTTTATCGAGAGAAGGAGGAGGTTTCATCCATTTTGCGTCCCTCAGGGGAGGGATGGGTGTTAGTTAACTTGACATCCGACGTTTAAATCCAAAGGCTTGTTGATACTGACTTTAATTCATAAAATCTGGAAGAAATTTACTCACAGAGTCTTTCTTTATTTCAGGATCATTGCCGCCTAAGCAAGTAGCGATCAAGAATAAGTTAGGTAATATAAGAAAGGCAGTTTAAAGCCTTTAAAAATGATGATGAATTGATTGATTGTTTAATTGTGAGTGAAAGTTCAACTTGAACACAGTCACTAGTATTCTATTTTCACAACTGCAGCCTTTTTCCACGCCTCCTCTACAACAAAATTTTGTAAGAAAGATTAGAAACATTCCCAATTTTGACGCCATCGTTACAAACTTTAATGCTTTCATGGATGTCAAGATGAGCATGCAATATGGAAAAAGAGTTACCCTTTTAAAAGAGTTATCCACGTTAACTTAATGACGTTATTTCAGTTCTAATCTCATTTACGATAATTGTTTACTTCGTTAAACCAAACAACACGAGGTTCAGTCTTTAAACAGAAACGTGTTGGCAAAAATTGTGCCGAAACTTTTCAAGTTTGTTCATTGTAATTAAAAGAATGATAAACTCTACGTTTCAACTAAACAAAAAAATTTCATATCGTCGATTTCTATTATTTTGTTTAGACTAACCTTTTACGGCGCAATAAAGAGATACTATTAAAAAAAAAAAAAAAAAAAAAAAAAAAAAAAAAAAAAAAAAAAAAAAAAAAAAATATCGTCGATTTCTTCTGTTTGTTTCGATAACTGTTTGTTTGTATGTCTGTTTGTTTATTTAATTGTTATTAGGCGATGAATGCACTGACTACAACACACTCAACGCACGTGATAGAGCCGCAGACTATTTCAGTTACAACACTTTGAAGTGTGACGCCTACCTACCCAGTGGCTGGTACAGGCTGGCTGGCCGCGCAGGGACTGTTATGCCGACACATTGCGTGCCCAAAATGCATTGTGGTACTCTGTCACCTGGCTGGTTGAATGGCAAACATCCAACTAAAGGGGAGGGTGTGGTGCAGCGTATGGTTTGTTTTACAAAGGATAACGATTGTTGTCACTGGTATAGTTTGGTGTTAGTGAAAAACTGCAGTGGTTTTATGGTGTACAAATTTGGACACTTTCCTACAGCTGTAGACTCCTGCAGCCTGCGATACTGTGGAGCTGGAGAAGCTGGTAAGTGACACATAAACCAGTTATGAACTGATCATTATTTATCGGCCGGGGGGGGGGAGGGGGAAGAAGTAGGATGAATTTGGTTGTGATCCCCCCTAAGGCTCTATAATATTGTTATGGTGCCCCTTTCATTGTCAGTTGATTGGCAAGCAATTTTCTTTAGTACCCTCCCTTTATAATATATGGGGGTCGACTGATACCCCTTTAATTCCCCCCCCTCCCAAATCCTCCTTACCTCGTCCTTCCAGGTGATAGATCATGGATTTTTCCTTTAAAAGAAACAACCGAATAGATAAAATTGCGGAAACCAGACTCCGCATGGCTGAATACTTCCATTACATATTTCGTTGTTAGAAGACTTTGATCCCGATAAAATGAGGTAGTTAGTTTTGAAGCCATTCGTAGCTACAAATGGCATAACCGTGGATAGTACGCAAAAAAAAGGCCGACCCGTGACTGCCTGCATCGAGAATTTATGCGTGGTAACCTACTTGGTCGCCTATTTTTCTGAATTTCTACTAGGTTGCAGAGACAAAGAAGGAAACAGCTATGACGTATGGCAGAGTTGGAACCCAAATCCTTTGTTCAAATGTATATGTGCACCTAATCTTAAAGTCGAGTGCCAAAAAACTGAAAGTGGCTGCTGGGATTCCCATGGCAACGCTTTTGCAAATGGACATGAGTGGCTTAGCAACAACATGACTAAGTGTACCTGTAGCTATGGAAAGATAACCTGTACCAAGCTTTCTCGACCAGCTTGCACCGATGAGAAAGGCATGGTGCGGGATCATGGTACCCACTGGTTTTCAGGAGTCTGTTTCAATTGCTCATGCGTGGATGGTTTGATCAGTTGTGCGAAGTATCGCGTGACTATCAAGTATGGGTTATTCCAAGTTGAGACAATTGGAAGATGTATACCGTGTCATCAGCCAAGTAACGATATTTTACCAACAGGGGATGGGACAGTCGCTGCTTGCCAGGGTGGGTGTCAATAATAAATGAGGTGTCGTTGTTAAATCACTGCAATGATGAAATATGATTGTTTGTCATTCATCATGTAGTTACTCTCGATCTGAACACAGGTTAATGTTGATTTTGCTCTATTGCAAACCCCCTTCCTAACATAAAACAAACTCGCCCCCACCTTAATCAGTTAAACGATGTGGAGCAAAATCGCAGAAATGGAAAGAGGGGATATTGTAATGGTGAGTAATCATCAGTTATCGAATCAAATACCGAAAATGGCTACTTTCCGGCCAAGTTGAGCCAAGTGTTTTTTCACACTTACCTCCCCTACCAGTAGAGAGAGCGACTCGTTTTGATCAACCAACGAATGACATTTACACAGTGCAATTATCCATGTTAAAAGCTTCTTCTCTTTCCAGTGTTCTTTCAGCTCAAGGCTTTAAATGAGGTATTTGGTTGTTCCAGTGGCGACTTCGTAAGGAAAGAACACGTGTGTAATGGAGTCGCCGAGTGTCCGGACGCTTCTGATGAGGCGCAGTGCCAGAATGGTGAGTTAATAAATCCGACTTTTTAAAGTAACTGAGCTTTCACTAATCTTAGCAACACCCTATACCTCTCCTCCTTTCCTCCCCATTTCCCCCTTTCCTCTCCCCCCCTCCTCCCCCATCGCTCATACGAAAAAGGAAGGAAAAAAAACCATCAGAGACAAACTTAATTAAAAATAAATACTGATGATTTCTTGTTGTTGTTTTAGTTATTTGTCGTGATGAGGAAGGGCAGATTCTAATTCTAAAAGATGTTTGGAAGGTAAATTTTCATACTTATGGCAAACCTTGTAAAAATTCAACCCTTAGAATAACTAAAGCACTACACTAATTTATCATTCGGAAAGCTTAGCTTTTCTTTTTGTAATGTCAGCTCGAATAACATTTAAAGAGTTCATTGTTAATATCATTCCAGGTGTCCGACTGTCTCAGCTGCGAGTGTACAGAGGGTCGTCTGAAATGCAAGAGGACACTTCAAGTCAACTTCCCAGGCAAACACTTGGCATACGTACCTTTTAATGAGTCCTGTGAACAACCAGGGTGTAACGCTGTGGAGTTTATTAAAGCCAGGAGAGAAACTTGTGAAGGTACACGTCAGGTTTAAGATTTAGACTCAATTCATGCCGAGAGCTACCTTAAAGATCGCTTTAACCAAATTAGCATACATCATCAAAATTCGCCCATTAGATCTATACTTATCAAAAAAAGCTACTAAATGTTGACCCGGGCGGAAATTGAAATCACCGCAAAAACCATTTTCATGGCTTTATTTTTACTCGAGGAAACTGGTAAAAACCGGCTAGGCTCAATTCTGGAAAGCACCTGTTGGTTCGGCTACTCTCTCAAAATAAACAACACAGAGCGATTAAAACTACCGTATTCTTACTCTTTATAATTTAGCTCAACTCCGTTACCTCTGACATTGTTATTTTTTCATATCCATATAATAAATATTTCTTTACTCAGTAATTGAAACCGTCGAAGGTGGCCACATTTTGTCACGAGGAGACAACTGGGACTACAAAGGGTGTCAATTCCTCTTTGAAGGACACAAGCAGATCACAGGGTGCCCACAAATGTCTCTATCAACCTGTTATATCTACAATGGAGCAGTCTGTTGTGCTGAGAAATGCCCAGGTAAAATACTATAGATATTGAAATGATATGGATGGTCAATTGTGAATGAGAACAGCGGTTCCGTTTGGAAAGAAAACGATGTTAAGCACTTTTCATATTGATAAGGTCATTAATAATAATGAGTTATTTACAAGGCATTTGCTTTGTAATTACCTCATTTTTAAATCTAAGCGAACCATATGGACCATAACAATAACAACAATAATAATAATAATAATAATAATAATAGAACATTCCACAAGGTGGCTCGTCCTCTCCACTGTTTCCAGGTCGAATTGAAATCAGGAATGTCAGTTTTTGTCGAGGAAGAATAACCGGAAGACTTGGAGAAAACCCTTGCAGCAAGGACGGGAATCGAACCCGGGCCACAGTGGTGGGAGGCGAGCGCTCTCACCTCTACACTATTCCCACTCCCCGCTCTCCCTTCCCTAATCCAAATGAATTAACAGCAATGTTATCATCTTTTGGAAACGATTATTTGTCAGTTTTCGAAAAACGAAAACCAAAGTTATGACAACAGCTAATTGGAATCAAGGTGAACATCAGCATTAGCCAGTGGGAATGCAAAGTAATAATTGACAAGATGCTATAAGCACCGGGTGATTGACACGAGTGATTGACTGTTTTGCATTTGATTTGCACATGCAGCGTGCGAGTTTTTTGGGCCTATCACAAAGTGGTTAGTGTATTGAAGCAAAACGAAAGCAATTACGAATTTGCATTCAGCATTCAATTGAAAAATTGCTCTCAATTTCCCACTGAAGGCGCGTTTTGTAATTCATAGCACTCCCACAACTTGCAAGTCAGGTGCGCTGGGGTATGATGGTGTGTCCTGGAGGACTTCAGTTGATAGCCAGTGATGATCAGTGTGACATTATCGACCCGAGTTGCCTGCCGGGAAACGGCTCCTGTAAAACGGGTAAGTTTGATTGATTAGAGCGACTTCTAAGAGGCTTCGATATGGCTGGTCCATCTTAAAAAAATCTAGTCCTCATTTTCAAGCTGTGTTAATCTTCTCCATTCTCAGCAGATGTTCTTTATTTTAGGTTA